GCTAGCATGTCCACAGATTTACTCTAGTGTACCTGGTGTTCCCTGGCAATGATGACCCATAACCATTAGCAGCTAGTGGTATTGGGAGGAAATGACCATGCTAGTGGAACAGGGGTTTGGGGTAGTTGGAATCCAGTGACACTAGAAGTCTGCTAGACTTCTCCCAGCTCTCTAGCTTCTAACACTTTGACAAGTAGGCTAGGATGGCTGGGCAGCAAGTCCCAGAGTCCGCTTGTCTCTGCCTCCCCAGTGCTGGGATTATAAATGTAGGTTCTGGGGATAGGACTTGGTTATTCACACCTGGAAAGCAAGCACTTTTCTCAGCTGTCTCTCCAGACCCCTTTTCCATGAACAATGGGCCCTATGTTTTCATCTCACACCAGGTCCCATAAATAATGTAGCTGACATTATATTCCTTTGTCTCAAGCCCATAGAATAGCGAGTGTTGTTTTAAGTGCTGAAGTGAATCCAGGGCTTTTGCTATCACCTAGTGACTAGAACCATACTGGGCATTCTGTTGGTCACAGGATACTTGTTAGTGTTTAAGTGTAACAGCACTTACTAGTGTGTAAGTGTAACACTGGTAAGTCTAAGTCTGTTTCATCAACTGGACTGTAAGTTCCTGAGAGGTACCTGTTCCATTGTTCATCTTTGTAGCCTTTCCACTTCGCTAAGTGGAAACTCTAGTGTGCCATGCGTGTTTAGACTACAGTGAGGCATAACGACAGTAGTAGGGTGGTCTAAGACTGAATGTCTGTCTCCTCACTTCCCCAAGGACAAACTATAGCTTTAACTAAACCCTGCTGCTCTGGTGGCCATAGTAGCTGCTTGGAGGAGAGGAAAAGGAACAGGTGGAATGCAAGAACCCCAATGCAAGTTGGAGGCCAGCCTGATCTACATGGTGAATTCCAGACCAGTCAGAGCAAAATAGCAAGACCTTGCCTCAAAATAACCAAAACAACAATAATAAAAAGTGAAGAACAGAGATAGGAATTAATAATATAAACATTAGTATATAATCAGCAGCCAGGGATGTCAATTTGGGTCTTTATTCTAATTTCTGTTGTTTTATCTCTCCTTGTAAGGCTAACTTTGGCTACCTCTTTCAGAGTTCCAATAGGCTCTGAAATAGAAAATATTTGAACATGACAACTTGGATATTGCACACGGAGACACCATTTGAGGTGTATTTTCTTGAATTTGAGGACTGGAATAAAAAGGTTCTTAGAGATTATGTGCACTTCCCATCAAGCTCCCTGACACTGAACTCCCTGAGAACTGTTCAATGTATTCTAGATGGTTCTATGGTTTGAAGTACATATCCAGTACTTTGATATAATGCAGACATTTTTATTGTGATGAACTCTGTGTAAATAAGTTCTTGGTCCATCCGAGAAGTAATGCTTGTTGTGAGGTCCCTCTTGAGTCACTGACTGCCATGACCAGGAGACGGCCATCTTATTTTGAAATTCTCTGAGGATTATAAGGCCAGCAAATCTAAATAAACTTACTGTCAGGAATTCCCCAACTCCTATTTCTTTTCTTTTTTTTCTTTTTCTCCCACCCCCCAGACAGGATTTCTCTGTGTTACAGTCCTGGCTGTCCTGAAACTCACTTTGTAGACCAGGCTGGCCTCAAACTCACTGAGATCCACCTGCCTTGCCTCCCAAGTGCCAGAATTAAAGGCTTGTGCCAATACTGTCTGGTCCCAACTCCTATTTCATACACATCCTGGCTGCTATCAGGTAGTCAGCAACACACCAACAAAAATAGTAGTCAGGTTTTTTTTTTTCTCTAATCCAAACAGTTTAGTGAAGGTAATGCTGTCTTCTACATGGTCTAGAACAATCCCCATTCCCCTCCACTCAGGGAACAATCTGTTAAATGAATATTCAGTCTGAAAATGGAGAAAACAAGCTTTATTATAATGATTTGAGATTTTTGTGCATGGTAACAATATACACACAAATCTTGTTTCTCCTGTGTTTCAAGACAGAATTAATTTAAAGTTTTATTATAGACTAAAGCATCCAAAATACTGTGGTACGTATGTAGCTACGAACATACAAACACATTGATGCACAGCGTCCATTCTTCTTTTTAAATAGGCAGTCAGCATTTTGATTCATAAAAGAACATAGGAGGAGGCTATATCATTAACTGATGGCAGAGAGCACAAGACCAGAGTTCTATACACAAAATGTATGAAACAGATCTGTAAAGGTGGAATGTACAAAATCTTCAAAAGAAACAAAAGGAAACAAACAACCTTCATGCTCATGGGCAGGCTCAGAAGGCTGCATGGCTGGGAATGATGTAAAGAATGTTAGGAGAGCACACTTTGTTGATGACACAACATCCCATGTTGTAAAGCAAAAGCATTGAGGTTAAGGCTGTGTTGCTTTCAAAAGTTAATGGAAGTGCTGTACATTCATTGGAACAAAATAGCTGATTATTAATCTCTTCTAGAATATTAATGAATAGCATCCATACACTCTCCACAAACAGACCACACAATCAACTACCACACAGTTCATCATTAGAAAGTGTTTTGAAGATTAGCATTGTGATTTGTAGCTTACTGTCATTTAAAACAAAACCAAAAAAAAAAAGCATTTATTTATACCAAACAAATTTTAATGGGCACTTAGTTTCCTTTATGGCAATACTAGATTCCTAGTTATCAAAAATATTAAAATAATTGTAAATTTTAAAACCCTGCAACATTTACAGAAAGTAACAGTATTAGGACTTTCGATTTTAAGGGAAATTAGATAAGGTTTGCATCAGAAAGCTTCTATTTTATCCTACTTGGAAAGGTCTTGTTTTAAAAACACTCACCACAGACTTTCCTCTTCCCTTTTCAGAAGCTGGTGAACAGAGAGAATGCTATAGAGTCCAAAAGCACACAGAGACTGTCCCCATTTGAAGTGATCTACGGATGGCCTGGTGCTGATCTGCTCTCTCCAGTTTCCTCCGTAGGCATCAATCATCAAAGCATTCATGCTAACCCTTCAGAATGAGGCTCCATATACCTGGTAACGTACTGCTATTCCAGTTCATTCCCTGTGAGGACATATATACCCTGTACATATAGTGGGAGCAGGTGTGTAACAGCTGCATGGACCAGGCGGACTCATTACCTTAAATTTTGTCAAGTTTAGGAAACTCAGGGGCTTGTTTAGTTATGGAGACTAAAGTTTCATTAAAATTTTACACATCATTAAAACACTGGCTAACAGTCATAAAGTCTTTCTAGTAGTGTGTTTCCAGATGGTCAAGTGATTCCCTACCACCCCGTGTCCAGCAGGGGAGGTTTATGTAGAAGACACACTGTCATTTACCTATAAAAACTAACTGAAGGTATTTTGTCCTTAGTGCCCAAGGGAAATTTGAATGCTTACTTTCTCAGTGCTATACATCATGAGTGTAACTGGTTCTATACAGTTGACAAAGATAAATAATAACAGTAGCCTAGAACAACAACAACAAAAAAGCCACTTATTTTTAATAATCCTTCCTAGTTTACCAGAAACCATTCCCATCAAATGAGACAAGATTTCATTTGGATCTTGTCTATTTGTATCTTAGCAGCAGCACTTTCCACCCCTCCCCAATATGCTTACCACGAAGAAATACATTTAAGTGCACGCACATACCCAAGTGTAGAATGTAGTGTTTCCTGGAGTGCTCACAGCAGTTGCTTTAGTAGCCAATGGTGGGACAGATCTTAATTAAATTATTCTTTCATTCCAGTTTGTACTAATATTCATGTGTTTAAAAGAAAAATCTTCATTTGTATTATTTCCTATTGAGATACCAAGCCTGATACAATATTTTATATGTGAGGCCAATTGGTTTATGAGTTAATTTCTCAGTTCACAAGTATCTAAATGTTGTACAAAAAGAACTCATTCAGTAAGTTCACTTTCAAATTCATAGTTACAATCTGAAGGCACATGCCAGCTGTAGAGCATGTGTCAAGCATGTCTGAGGCCCTGTATTCCATTCCAAGAAAAACAAAAACAAACAAAACAAAACAAAACAAAACAAAACAAAAGACCAGTTTGTGTTGAACTCTTTAAAAAAAGTTTTTGGTTTGTTAAAATTAACTTAATTTACTCATTAAAAAAAAAAAAAAAAAACTTCCCGAGGGAGAAGGGAACGGGGATTGTCATGAAAAACAATTTTTTTTCTAATTCAAAAAAAAAAAAAGAAAGAAAGAAAACAAGTGCCTTTGTTTGAGAGTGCCCCTACTTTCCTTTAAATAGCTCAGAAATAATCCTGCATGTAGAGTATTAATAAACAGCACAACAAAATCCCCTCACCAAAATATAAGCTGTAAGAGGACAGAGATGCCAGTCTCTCTCATGTATCCCTCAGGTCCAGTACCTAGAAGCATTCCTAGCCCCTGGTAGGAAGTCTGTAGATACAAATGTTGAATGAAATTCATACTGATTGCCTGGGCTGCAGGAATAGCCCAGCTATAGGACTATTGCTTAGCATGTCTGAGGCCATGGGTTCTATCCCCAGCACCAAGAAAAAAAATTAAAAATCAAAACATAAGGTCAAAGGCTTATTCCATGGGATTCAGAAGCAGTCTTATTTTACCACTCTAAAACTGGTATTGTATTTTAAGTCTATCAAAGTCAGGCTTGAATATTTTTAGATTGCACCAAACTAAAATAATAATAACCTAAACCCAAGTGTAAATCTTCTGAAAATAAAGCCCCCCCCCCCCCAGATGTTGACTTAGGCATAATAAATCAAATAGACCAATGAAAGTAGCCAGATTTCCCATCTAAATTTTAACACTCCTGCATCGAGAACATCGGAATTTTAAGATAATAAGCCATAAACATCATCATATGTATGTAAAGGAAGAGTTTTTCTTACAGTTATCTAAGGTGCTTTCCATGAAAGAAATCCCAAAGTCTTATCAAACATGTCAAACACAATTTTCCCATTTGGTAGAACTGAGTAGAAAATCCAACAGTGGAAACAGATCATGTCTTATTTTACAGTATCCATGACAGGTAATGTTTCCCAAAATGCATTTATACTTAAATGAAAGGTAACTCAAACTCAATTTTTAGAGACATTTTTTTCTTTTTTTTCTTTCTTCTTTTTTTTTTTTTTTTCTTGAAAGTAAAAGGTCATTTGCTGCCTGGAAGTCAGGCATCAGCATCGTGCTGGAAAATGGCAACACTCAAAACTGCTGTAGGGCTCACTCCACCAGGACGGCTTCAGACTGCAGCAGCAAGGTTATGTGCTGAAGGAGGCTGGGCAATGCTGCTGTCTTTCAGAGTGCTTCCTATTTCCACACACCATGGATTCAGCTATATATATATATATATATAAAATGTATAATACATTCTATCTTACCCTAACCATGTATACGTGTCCCTTAATGCCTCTACTATTCATTAGACAATGATAAATAACCATAACATGCCCGTACCTGTAATGCTCAACAGAACTTTGGTAACACTTGTTCTCTAAGGGGAAGTCATTAATCAATCACATGCCTTTGGTTGACACCATCTGTCCTCCAAAGGGCTGCTTATGGCTCTCTGTCCTAGGACACTGGTGTCTGACTACATGTGCTGACATTTTACAGGAGGTAAAGCTTTCGCTTTCATGATGTGGAAGAGGAAAGACATGTGAACACATGGCATGAACATGACTTCTTTTGGTTACATCCCAGTGTGTTGATCTGAAGCTAACAACCAAGAGGTCCCCCTTGCTTTTGCCATATGCCTTTCAAAGCATCGGGAATTCAGGTTTTCCTGAAGCTATATTTCATTTTCTGATGCAAGGTGAGTAGAAAGAGAAGGTGAAGAGAACACACGAAAAAGATCTTTGATCGAACCCAGAAAGGTTGGGAAATTTGCATTGATTCTGATGGGCTCAACTCAAGAGGGCCCTGAGTCAGAGCTGGGAGGATCTTGCAAGACAGCCTTAGATTTTTCTAAAGTAATTTATATATGGTTGTTGATAACCACCCCCCAAAAAGTCACCAGTAATAACATCTACTGTAAAAGTGAGGTTAGAAGGTCCCTTGGGTCTTGTGACCAAAGTTAAATAAAATAGGTAACTACAAGTTTTGTTCTTGGAAGCTCGATGCAAAGGCTACCATTCATTCACCGGTCAACAGATATGCTAATTCTTTTAATGTCTGATTTGCAAAATTAGTTTAACTGCATAAATCCCTGTCCTATAAGCCATAGTTCACAGGTGTAAAACTTCGAAGCTTGTATAGATTCAATAGAAGAGGTTCTCTTTAAATCCTAAAAGTGAATTACGGAATTGGATAAGCAGTTTTTAAGGAAATCGTTACATTCAGAAATAACCTTGGAAAGTTCACCAAAGGTTCTTCCTAGTATGAAAAGTCCTATTGTAATCTGGTCCCACATTGAAAACTCCGTTCCAGTTTCTAGTGCAAGACCTCAGTGCAGGGGTGTCCGCTGTTACTGTAAGTACCGATAGACCTTGAAACAGTGGTTTCCAGAGTCTGCAACCACAACATGGCCATCTGAAGTTAGGGCCAGGCCTTGGGGGCCATAAAGAGGGTCAGCCGATGTGTTGATATAGGACAAAAATGAGCCACTCCCATCGAAGACCTGCACAGACATAAAATCAGAGCATCATCAAAGTTACATATGCTGACGGACATGAATTTTAAAAAGTATGTAAAGAGCCCTCTGGGTGCTGGACCGTGGTGGAGTAAGCCTTTAATCCCAGCACTCGGGAGGCAGAGGCAAGTGGATCTCTGTGAGTTCAGGGCCAGTCTGGTCTACAAAGTGAATTCCAGAACAGCCAGGGCTGTTACACAGAGAAACCCTGTCTCAATAAATAAATAAATAAATAAATAAATAAATAAATAAATAAATAAATAAATAAATAAACTTTCTAGGTTTGTGCAGGCCCCTGTACACACATGATTCATGATTAATTTGATGATTAACCTTGGTTGTTGATTTGGTTGGATCCGGAAACAGCTATGACATAGCTTCTAGGAACATCCGTAAGTATATTTCCTGAAAAGATTAGCTGAGGGGAGGGGGTGTAATTCTTGCTCAGCATGGGCAGCACCTCCTGGTGGTGGTGCAGGCATAAGGAGGTCTGAGAGAGAAGTTATTGCTTTTGGTCCACTGCCTTCAGTCGTGGCTGGTAAATGCATCCACCTTGTTGTTGCTACTGCCACTACCTTTGCTCACAGGAACCCAGCTTCTTCTTCTTCTTCTTCTTCTTCTTCTTCTTCTTCTTCTTCTTCTTCTTCTTCTTCTTCTTCTTCTTCTTCTTCTTCTTCTTCTTCTTCTTCTTCTTCTTCTTCTTCTTCTTCTTCTTCTTCTTCTTCTTCTTCTTCTTCTTCTTCTTCTTCTTCTTCTTCTTCTTCTTCTTCTTCCTCTTCCTCTTCTTCTTCTTCTTCTTCTTCTTCCTGGAACTTGCTCTGTAGATCAGGCTGGCCTCAAACTCAAGAGATCCTCCTGCCTCTGCTTCTCAAGTGCTGGGATTAAAGGCCTGTACCACCACTGCCCGGCTGGAACCCAGATTCTTTAGCTTTTCAACACAGGCTGAAGAAGACCCAAAGCTCTCTTAGAATCCTCTAGGCCAGTGGTTCTCAACCTTCCTAATGCTGCAACCCTTTACTACAGATCCTCATGTTGCGGTGACCCTCAACCATAAAATGATTTCATTGCTACTTCATAACTGTAATTTTGCTACTGTTATGAGTCATGATGTAAATATCTGATATGCAGGATATTTGATATATGTCTCCCCCTAAGGGGTCTCAACCCATAGATTGAGAACCACTGCTCTAGGGCCTAGAGTCTACGCCAGATTGGGACCACCGAGGCAGCAGCCTAGTAGACTGAGAAGGCTACCAGTTTCTTGGTCTCTCCAACATATAGACGACTATGGCTGGACTCATCCATCTGAGGCATGTAAGCCAATGTAGTAACTCCCTTTGTGACGTGCATTCAATCCATCTGCTGTGTCCTATTGAGGACCCAAACACACAACTCTGTCTCCACTTACACTTGCTTTCTCCCCTGCTCCCTCCATGACTGGAGGCACTGATGTAGAACTTGTTGGTTGTACATCTTATATTACAATGGCTGTCACATGTGCACTGACAAATTGAGATTTCATTTTTCCTTGTTGGAGTCTATAGTTCAATGTGCCTATCTGGATAGGCAACAGCTTAAAGTTGCCTAACTATAAAAGTTTATCTGATTTTGTTGTGATGAAATAATAGGTACAAATCAACTCATAACATTTCCTCTTTTACAAATGCCCAGGTTGGTTTCTTTGGACCATTTTGCTTGGCCCACTTGGCATTTTAAGAAGCAATGTAAGTAGGTAGATATCATGGGACCACAAAATACAAACAGCATCTGTGGGCCTTTGTAACTTGTCCAGCTCCTGGCTTCTAAAATATTGGACTCTCTTACCCACTACAATGAGGCCACTGGTAGAGATCTCTTTTGAGACAGGGTCTCATGTAGTCCAGGCTAGCCCCAAACTTGCTATGTATTCAAGGATGACCCTAAGCTGCTGACCTTTCTGGCTCCATCTCCCGTGTGCTGAGACTACAAGTCAATGCCACCACGATCAGCTTACTCAGTAGAGGGGATTGAACTCAGGGCCTCGTGCACACCAGACAAGCACTCTACCAACTGAGCTATATACATCTCTATTCCTGAATGTCTCTTTTAATATAGAATTCTGTTGGGGGTAATCAAGCAATATATATGTGTATATATTGCATCACACTGATAGTCTGCATTATTTTCTTTTAACTGTATTAAACAGAGAGTTCATAGTCAGCTTTTGCTACATAGTAAGACTATGTCTCAAAGAAAAGAAAAAAATGCAAAATTATAACATAGTAATTATATGTATAGTATAGCCATATATGTATTTCGTTTGAAGTCAGTCAAGCTGGGCTTGAACTCTCTACACAGATGAAGACAATCTGAACTGCTCATCTTTCTTCCTCTACTTCCCCATGTGCTAGGGTTATGGGCAAGTGTCACCACATCCAGCTTTGATGTTTGCTTCTTAACTGGCACATTGAATGAGAAGAAATGATGATAGCAATGAATGCAAATCATAGTATCTGGCACAACTGTAATGAGACATGAACATTTTGTGTGTGTGTGTGTGTGTGTGTGTGTGTGTGTGTGTGTATGTTTGTTTGGTTTTTCTTAGTGACAATCAGAGGTTGTACTAAAAGTACTGCTTGTTGCCTTGTTCACAATTAGGAAAAATGAGTCTTCACTTTCAGATTAGTAAAACATCCAAGTAGTACTTCTTTGTTCAATAGCTCTCTTGAACACTATCTATGAGCTCTTTAGGGGTCTGAGGAGAACAATATTCAAACCAAAAAAAGAATAATAGTAACCTTTGAATTAGAGAATTCTATGCTAATGATGTTACTTTCTGTCTACCTTTCCATTTATAGTGTTTGGTCCATCACACGAGATTAGCTATGGTGTTACGACTTAACCAAGAAGGAAAAACTTCCTAGTCCTAGTTCAGGCAACTTTTCACTGTTAACAATATCAGCTGTCCTTAGCATCCTTAGCATCTAATGTACCTGGATCCTGCTGTTGCCCCAGTCGGCCACAATGATGTTTCCATTCGAATCCACTGCTACACCTGTTGGCGCATTAAACTGCCCATTTCCTTCTCCATTTGAGCCGAACTTCAACATGAATTCTCCTTCCTGATTAAACACCTGTATGAAATATTGAAAGACTCTTTTATTTAAAATAGCTGACCCAACCATACTGTTTAAAAAAAAAGTTGTCTGAGAAAGTTATTTATAACAAGTCCTGTGACTTGTAAAAAGTAGTCTATGGACTAGACCTCTGTCACTTGTGATTCCCAAATTATTTGCAATCTCATTTATTATTTATAAAATTACTTTCCTTTTTTTCTGCCATTTATAACTGGTTACTAAATACCTGTATTAATTTTTTTATAAATTACAAGATACTATTAAAATAGATGTTATGAATAGGACTGAGAATATTTATTTTTTAAATACTAAATATTAGTCTATTTTCACATAACTAGCTTTATTTGCTGAATAAATAAAAATTCAAGAATAGGTACTACATCTCTATGGGATAGATTGTCATTCAGTTTGGATCAGGTTTTTATTAGGCCAAATATTCATGGTTTATTATCATTTTACTATATCAACATAATAAGAACAAGAGGGCTGAAATTCATACTTAGAATGCAGGGCATTTATGTGTGTCAACTTGTGCATGACTATACAATGGCTATGGGTGAAGAATAAACAAGGGCTGTTTTAGTTACTTCAGATGGCATTTGAGTTAAAATAGAAGGTTTATAAATTCTAAGGCCACCATGATAAGAACCAACAGAGGCTATTCCAAGAGCAGGGCAAACAGAACTCTTAAGGAAATGGTCTCTCATGCCTGGTGTGATTGATCAATTGGTCACTGTGGTTTACTGAATGTTCATTGTGTGTGTGTGTGTGTGTGTGTGTGTGTGTGTTTTCAAGACACAGTTTCTCTGTATAACATCCTTAGCTGTACTGTAGACCACTCACTCTGTAGACCAAGCTGGCCTCAAATTCACAGAAATCCTCCTACCTCTGCCTCCTGAGTGCTGGGATTAAAGGCATGCACCACCACACCTGACTTTACTGTTTTTATTACTAGTGATACACTATACATATCAAATATAGGTTACAGGTTCTGGAATGAAAATTTTAATGACAATATTGAATACATTTAATGCTTTTAATGACAACACTATAGTGAAAGATTTTATCTTGATGTTTCAGATGAGACTTAATGGCTCTGAAATATTCCTGAGATGTTATCTTATATATCCATTATGGTGATTCTTATATGTATAGAAGCATTAACTTACAAATCCAGAAATGTTACGGTCAAGGCACCTTTAAAGTAAGTAAATGTTGCTCACATGTAAACCTCAGAGGGTTCACAGCTCTGAGCACAGATCTGATTTGAGATGAGCTTTGAGTCCTCTTTGGCTCCTTAGAAATACGCACAGCCAGCTCTTGCTAATAAATTAGGTTACAAATGCCAGTAAAATCTGGGTGTTCAGCAGGTACAGCTAAGTGGCACAGAACTTGCCTAGTATGTATAAAAACCTGAATTTTATTTTCAGCAATTAAAAAAAAAAGAGGAAAGGAAGGAAAAGAGAAATGGAGGGCGTGGAGGGAGATGGGATAGGAAAAAAGAGGAAGTATTTAAAAGGCTCCCTTAATTCTTAGTCACAACGCCATTTTTACACAGCACTGTAGCTTTAAATATCAATGGACATTTGTTTGTGTTGGTGGAGACACTGTTATTCTATGCTCCTAACTTCATTAATTCCTATGCATGATCTTGGTGGTCCTTGCTTATTTTTTTTTTTTTTTGGCCCAGTATATTTTTCTTGGCGTAGGTGCATCTACTTCATATTGGGAAAAAGAATGCTTTATTTCTGTTGTTTGTTTGACATTTTTTTTTATGTTCATTGAAGACAGGGTCTCAATATGTAGCCCAGGCTAGCTTCAAGTTTCTGATCCTTTCTGCGCCTGCCAACACCTTTTCCTTCGCCTTGTGAGTGCTGGGAATTTCAGGCATGCACACCCTGCCTACCTGGCTTAGTTGTCTCATAGTTAAAAGAAAAGTCCTTGTAGTATTTCTGCTCATCTGCATTTTACTTTCCTCTGTCTTAGCTACCTGCAACTGTGACAGGAAAGTGAGAGGGAAATTCCAAACTCAAGTCACAGTTTCAAGTAACGCCTGTAGCAGGATGCTGTGACAATTATTCTATTTTATAATTAGTTATCACTGTTAATTGTTGCTATTGGATCTGCAATGTGTTTTCATAGGCTCATGTGTTGAAGGTCCAGCCCCCAAATGCAGAAATGCTCACAGGTGGGCTTTCTAGGAAGTGGATGGATCCTAACACTCTGACCTCATCAATGGATAAATTCATTGATGGGTTCATTACTGGTGGACTAGAAGGAGGCTGCAGAAACTGAAGGCAGTCTAAGCCAATCTGGAGGAAGTAGGTCATTGAGGTGTGCTCTTGAAGGGTATAACTTATCCCTAGGCTCTACCTCTCTTTCTCTTTGTTTCTGCAAATGATTATGGCCGAAACTCTGAGACCATGAACCATACCATTCTCTGGTGTTTTACCACAGCAACTAAAAACTGACACAGTTGCTTTTTGTCTCATATTTCTGAATTAAACTTTATCATAAGTTTGTATGCACAGGAAAAAAGACATAGTATATATAGAATCCCAGACTATTTGTGGCTATTTGTGACTTTGGTATCCATTAGGGGTCTTAGAACATATCCTCCAATAACACTGTAGAGCAGGTAACTTTAAAAAAAAAAGCTACAGAAGACTACCTATTAACTTTGAAGTTAATAAGTTAAAGGCATGTGCTACCACATCATTAGCAAGGTCGTTATTTTCTGTTACACTGTGTTCTATATTGCACCAAGTCAATATGGAAGAAATAAACATGTGATATACTGTGTGGACAGATGCTGGCTGATTCCTGACCTGCTCCAGAGACTGTCACGGTAGCAATCTTCTAACACCTCACTTTTAAAGACCTTGTGGTGCAGATGATCTAAACAGTGAATTTTTAGTTTGTTGGCCAACAAATTAAAGTAGCAAGACAGCTCCAGAAAGTTCTGTCCCTATGTCCAAGCAAATGTTTTACAAAATTTTTAATCATTCTCATTCACCCCAGTTTCCAAGTAAGAAATACAGCCATCGTATTTTATTCACATTCGACACCCACAAGTATGGAAGTCCATATTAAAACCTTCATGTTTAAGGTGAAGTCAGATCCACTAAGTTCTAAGTGTCTATACAAGTGCTGTGTATTATTTCCAACTAGACCAAATTCTCTGTAAAAGCAGTTTGGAGTTAATAATTGGCGTGCTGACAGTACCTTGACAGAATGATTATGGAAATCTGTAACGATGATCTCATTATTGCTATTTACAGCTGCAAAATGGGGACCTGCAATAAAATGGGGGGAAACACATGAGGGTCCCAACAGCACAGATGATTTCAATACAGCAGTCGCTGCAACACAGCACAAGGTTAACACATTGACTTAATTAATTAAGAAAGGGCAAAGAACCAGGGTCCCAGTCCACAGAAAATCACTCAGCCAGACATCTAGCTCTAGGGGAGCTGGGTTCTGCACATTTTTAAACTTGGGACTGTCTGCTCTGGCCTCTTCCCCAGCAAGCACAGAAGAGTGGCAGTCCTAAGGCAGTAGGATGCACAGGAAGTATCAGTAACCTTTCTCTGTATCACCTTCTGTAAGCCACACCCACTACCTCTTGCTTTTTGCTAAGTAGGGAGGTGAGAGAGTCCGACAAAGAAAAATGTGGCCAGTCTCAGCTTCAAGAGGAGGCTGCCAACTATAATTTTTCTACTGAAAACACTAAGCAGAAAATCTACATTTTATGATACTGAGTGACGGTTGAGAATCTGGGCCAGACAAAGGAGAGAATAAGCACAAAGAAAGAAGATGTCAGCTAAAGAAAAATCCACCTGCAAAGTTGCACAGAGCAAAGTAAAAAAGACTGCCTTCACTGCTCTAAGCAAATACTCTACACTCCTGTTCTCTTACAGTAACCTACAAAGGTGAAATAAACCCCATCCCGAGGCTCGTTAAACTGCATCCCTGGGAAACAGCAACTCGTTGTTCTTCAAACACTTGTAGTTTTTAAAAATACCATATTTTAAGATGTACTATTTTACTTAATACACATATTTGAAAATCTAGCGTCTGCTGTGTGAACCGCCATCAGAAAAAACTACACAAAGGCTGTACTTTTGACTGAGCCTCCTCAGGACAACTGAGAAGTGTCTACATGACTTCTGCTTTGGTCCCACGCCCAGCATTCCCCCCTGCCCCAAGCCAACACACACACTGGGGATGGGGCACTTCAACATGCTCAAACATCATGCAAATGTGAGCAGAAGAAGCATAAAAAAGGGGGTTTACATATTACCATCGAGTGTACCTGCAAACTGCCTGTCCCCATTTCCTCGGCTACCAAACCTGGTGACTATTTTCCCATTCGGCTGGAAGATGAACACACAGCATGCCTTGTTGTCCACCACAATAATGTGCCCATTTCGGTCCACAGAAACTCCTTTGGGCCCCATCAGTTTTCCTGATCCAATTTTTGTCTGTTTAGAAACAAAGCACAGAAACTGAGTATAGACACTGAAGTTCAAAGCATTACAGAACCAACCTGAAGCTAGTTAGTTGTCTTAGAAAACAATTTGTTTGAATGTTCTTAGTATGGCATAGGACAATGGTATCTCTGTCCTAGAAAATTGGCTCTGTCATATTCAACATCTGCTACTGGTATTTATATAAAATCTTATTTTTAAGACGCATTTGTCAGAGACCTCCTTTGCCTTTCAGGTCAATGTCATCAACAGATGTCATTGAAGAATGTCACCACCAGTCAGTAATGTTTGGCAGACATGTTCAGCAGTGGCTGATTCTACCCAGAGCTTCATGAAAACTTAAGGCTCATGAATGGAGTGTGCAGGTCTCTCAGGGAGCACATGGCAATCATGCAACACCGTCACCAAGGATAACTTCCAAGACAATATAGAAGCCCTGCCTGGCTATCCTGGAAACATATCTGGCTGAGAAGAACAGGCTGGCCTCCAAATCACTCGTGCTGGGGCTAAAAGAGATCCGCCTGCCTCTGGGACTATACATCAGCCTGTCAGCAACATGGAAAAGAAGAAGAAACTTCATCACCCCAACCTAAAAAGAAGACTCCTGCTTCACCTGGGGGGATACAGGTCCTAAGAGGCTGTGTAGAGTCTGAGGGTGAATCAAGATTCTGCCAATAACAAGCATTTCATTGAGAAATGATCCCACCTTACATTATAGTTGCACCTAGGCTTAAATGGGAGGGGACTATGAACTGTGCGGGTGGCTTGCGGTCAGAAATCTAACAATAGACATCAGTCATCACAGGCTTCTGTGTTTGTTGTTGTTGTTTGTTATGCTTTTTTTGTTTGTCTGTTTATTATTATTATTATTTGTTTTGTTTTTTAGGCTCTGTTTCTCTGTGTAGCTTTGGCTGTCCTGGAACAACTCAGCTGTGTTTGACCAGGCTAGACTCGGACTCTCTGAGATACACCTGGCTCTGCCTCTCTGAGTGAGTGAGCAAGCGAGTGCTGGGATTAGAGGCGTGTGCCACCACAGCTCAGCCCACGTATGTATTCTTAATTTCCTAATACTGTGATGGAACTTTCTCCGAGTAAGACTTCTCACATGAGCCTTTATCCTTCCAAGTTTACAAATGATGGAGATTCAGGTGTGCCCTCCTTAGAGCAGAGAGAAACGAGTACTTTGAAAGAAAACATCTAGTCCTAGGCCAGGGACTCTCTTGTGTAAGTTTGATTCCGATAATGCAATGAAGACTGAGGATCAAAGAGGCTCCAACATAATGGCATGTAAGGAAATAGCTCACGTTCTTTCAAGTCTGAAAGGAAGGTACCATGCGAGATCAAAAGGAGAGCTGGCACTCTGCTCATTACTGCCTAATGCCACTACTATTTAACATTATAAACAACAGTAGTTACTTAGAATGACTCAACCATATAATACCAAGTGGATAATTATCTAGAATGAAAACAGAAGCCAAAGGATTATCTTAGTTCTACCAGAGGATGCCGACTGGGCAGATCTTCAAGCACAACTCAAAGCTGAAACCAAATGTCCCTTTCCTCCACCTCCCACTATTCAGTTCAGCTGCACTGAATTCTACAGAGTTAAATAAGAAGCCATGCCTTTGGCCTCACTGTGTTTCCTTGCCATCTTAGAATAGTAAGAAACATAGCTCAGAGTTTGGCATTAGACAGATGAGAGCATTTAACCCAATGAATGGCTAGCAAGTTTAAGAAGGAAAAGCTGAGACATTTTAGAATACAGGCCATAAAGGTCACCATATTTGTGTTCATTCATAGATATGTATATTTAGACATATATTTATATTTGAATTTTTTCTTATTATAAAAGACTCCCAGATGGGCTGGAAGGTATAAGCAATGAGGGAAGATAAAAGAGAAAACATTAAGAGGGAAGGGAAGGATAAATATTAGACTACAAGACAGATGTCTATAAAAACAGTAGTAAGATGTTACACATCTGAGATAATTAGGAATATACTATCTGTGTCCCATTAAAAAAGCAAAAATAATAATCTGTGGAAACTAAGTTGTGGCTTGCACATCTGGGTGAACTTTTTCTACAGTACTCAAGTGTTTTCATGAACTGTCCTTTTATCTTAAATGGTTCTAATGAACATCTGTCCTACAGGTTCTTGCTGCAATAGGCAGCACCTTTCCCCTGTCCTCTAGGGGGCACGAGTGCTCCACAGAGTTGACTGCACTGACTGCCAACAGCGCCCAATTTTAAGAGCAGCTATTCCAAGTATGTATTGTAGATACAGAAGTATCAAGTCATGAGTTTGAAATGTCTCCATCAGGGAGCCATTCTCTCAGCTAGCAAATTCTTGCTCAATATGCAAAAGCTGCTGTAGCATTAGCTCCCAGATGCAACAATCGATAATCATTTTGTTAGAGTATGAAGCAAGATAAAAGTAGATTTTCTCCAAATTGGAGGACTTTTGAGAGGGCAGCTACCAGTTTTCTTTGCATTTCTACCAAAGTTGTCACATTTGGGTGTTGGAAGACACAGAAAGGCGAGAGAGCTTTCTGGACACATGATCATTATATGGAGTTGTTTCTAGTGGAACAAAAGTTCAGTCTACTGAGTCCCCATGAGCAATAATGCAGGGTTAAATGTGACAGCCTTTTATTTCCTCTGCTTTATTTCCTCACATAAAACAAGGGCTCAAGTCTGAGAGTAAAAACATATGGAACTCATCTCATAAATAACATGAGATGACCAGAACAATCCAAAGATGTCAAATGCCTTCAATCAGACTGAGTGAGATCCACCTTCAAGACTCCAGAATGGGTTAGGAAAACATGCTCCAAACCTTCTGAGAAGGAAGGGGTGTGGTGGCACCAAAAAACTTGCCTGAGGCCATGAGGCCCAAGTCACAGCTGGTCAAACAAACTTTACGTTTTGGAAAGGATTACAAGGGACATGAAAAAGATCATTTCTTACATAAGACACATAATAAAAAAATAAAATCTCATTTAATTTGTACTCAAATCCAATGAGATAGTTGTTTTTAAACTCTGAATTTTAAGTACTCAGAGTAATGATATAATTTTCCAAAGACCAGAAGCTAATAAAGCACATAAATGGGATTCCAGCGGTTGATCTGGGTAAAAGTTCAGGTTGTCAAATAAACGAAAAGCCTCCCCATGGTTGAAGGACTACACAAAGCATGGCCTTCCAAAAGACCTCTGACCCAGTGTCTTATAATCTTGTGACTATAGGTACAAATGGGCTGATTGATAGCAATTCTTTGGTGACACCTAAAGAGGAGAATCCTATTTGTCACCACTGAGTTCCCCTATTCTTTGGTGACTTGTGAGGCAACTGGAGCTGTTACGGTTGGATCTTGACTATTCCCCCAAGGACCCAGATGTCAAAGCCTAGTCCCTACTGGTGCTATTGAGAGGTGGTAGGATTCAATGGAAGGAAGGGAGGTCACTGGGGCATATCCTCGAAGGAGGCTGTGGAGCTCTGATCACTTCCTCTTTGCCCTACTTTCCTGCTACCACAAGGTCAGCAATTCCCTCCATCATGTATTTCACTTTGCCACAGAATCAAAGCACAAGAGCCAAGTGATAGCAGACTGAAGCCTTCAAAGTTGTGGAGCAAACTAAATATTTTTTAAGTTGATTTTCTTAGACATTTTGTCTCGGCAAAATGGGGTGACTAACAGAGACACTATTTTTACATTTTTACATGTTGGGATCCCAGGATGTAGGGGAACTGGCTTCATCTCTATACAGCCTACATTTTCTTTTGCTTCCTAGTTCTATGACAGTCTTTAATGCTGTGTTTCCAGGTCATAACAAATAATGTACAATGACATTCCAGGTGCGTTAAGCTTTTTTCCCTCAATGTATCTGTATACATTTTTTTTTTTTTTTTTTTTTTTTTTTTTTTTTTTTTTTTTTTTTTGGGAAC